ATATATATATATATGTATATATATATAATGAGTACACTTGGCTGATGACTATCCATTATTCAACTCAATGTACTATAGGTGCCTTTTGTTTTACATCGGCAATTGAGATGAAATGAAATGTTAACATCTCGGGACATTTTTCTTATTTTGGTGTTGATAAAATGAATGACAAGGATTTAATATTTCAATTCGTGGGTCCAAAAAATATGATCAATCAGTGTGATGCAGTCCGTGGTTCGAGGATACAGATGAGTATCCCGTTCATTCCTGGGTTCAGAGTTTGGTGAAAGTGAAGATGATTCCCAGAGGGAATGAAGTTATGTTTAAACAAACAAATTCATTTTCAGTGTGTGCATAATCCCTGATTAGTTGTAATATGACACTCCTGAAAGCGAATCGGAGATGCGACACTGGTTTTATGCCGAATCACACTGTCCGTCGCTAAGTTCCTGCCCGTGGTAAAATATTTCTAATAACTGAGATGGTGCTGCTGTGGAAAGTGTCGCAATTTCTACAGCTAAGATGTGTTTCTTTATCCATAGGGTGATGATGATGACCAGTATTTCTTGCATGTTTTGCGCTGATCAATCAATGCACGGGTTGACGCTGCAGCTCTGGTGAAAAACTGAAAATCAGATTTGGCACTATGTAGAGTTGTTAGGATTTGGACCCGCGGAATGTACGTCGGAATCGGCACCAACCAGGCATTCAATTTCCATTTGCGGACAGACTGTACTTGTGATCTTCACAAAACTAGACTAACTCATAAAGAGCGCTAATCGCCTAGAAGTGAGGTTTTGTGCGCAAGTGAAAAGAAGAACCGAGCAGCGGACTTCTATTATTTGTTGTGCGTTCGAAATACAAATAGAGAGAAGCTAGTTTTATTATCATCATTATTATTGAGCATTGGTTTTAGACAAACGCACGGACATGTGAACGCGCGTTCGTATGCAAACGAAGAAGTGGACAACAATGCAACTTACCTTGGTCACTTTCCATCCGTTGGTGAAAATGTTCTGACGATGGTATTCGTCTTCGGGATCATAAACATCCCAACCGTTGAAGGGATAGATCGAAGCATTACACTTCTCTCCGAACACATAAGCAAACAATGGCTGTCGCGATATATTTGGGAACGCATGGGCTCGCAGCTGCTCGTAGAATGCGGAAGCACGAGAACTGTCCTGGAGGAGCAATAGCTGTGATATGGCACGCTTACTGTCAGCATTAGTTTGACATCCCGCAAATCTTTGCACATGATATACACACCCAATCCGCCACTTTTGGAACCGCTTTGTGCATGTTTTTGTTCAATAGTTTGCATCACTCCCAACGGGATTTGCAATACAAATTGGCGTTGCGCGTAGCTTACAAAAGAGGGCAACGTGTGAAACTGATTTGTATCACTAGATTTTGAAGTTTGGCAAAATATTAACTTGTAATTAGTCAGCTGGGAAGGAAGATGAATAAAGCACAAAGTTCACAGGCATCGATTAAAAAGCTCACCTCCAACACACCAGAAAGAACCGAACCCAATGGGGTTACGTAGGTGGACGAACAGGAATCAATTTTCTGCTCACCGGGCAATCGATGGCGATCACTTGCGTTGAAAACTCCATCACTGGACATGAGTCCTACAATCGAAACAAAATGAACAAGAAATCAATATGCATCAAGCATTACCAATGATATGAACATAAGGAAACTGCGATTTACGGATGGCATTTCATTAATGTCTCGCACTGGCCTGGAATCAAACGGTATCGGGCAAATTGCAGTACAACAAACATAAAACAAAGAAATTGATCCGAGGTTTGTTCGTAGGGAAGGGGACTGAGAGCTTCCCCAAGTCAAGGCAACTGATTTTGCCGGGATTCGAAACCGGAGTGTTCGGTTAGACAGTCTAGTCTGCAAGATAGCAAGACAGTGTGTACGGAACGCAGTTCATTGGGGTTGGTTTCCAAACCGTAACATCATACAGCCTTCGGGCGTGGTTTACCCGTTCAAAGGGTAAATACGCCAGAACTCGACGCGAACGTCCAGAAGTAATTTCGTGGCAGGTAAGTAAACAAGTTAGTCATAATAAGAAACAATGGCTTGACCGCTGGGTGGAGTATACCAACCAACAGTTTATCTGGCCACGTGTTGGTTAGACCATCTCGCCTAATGAAGCTGAAGCGCCGTGGTTAGTGTCGTGTGATCCTCGGGTAGAAGTGGAAGTACGGTCTGTCATTTTAGCGGAGGCAGGAGGAACTTATGGGCGTGAGACCTCATAGTAATTGTTACTGGTTTATTGCATATATGGCTGCGGGAGCGTATTCCATCAATTTGGGGAGAACCAATAACCATTTCAATTTCAAGAAAAGAGCTCGCAAATGGTGCGCAAACCACCCATCATCATCATCATCATCA